GGGAGCCGCACAACCAGAGCTGCATGAACAGGACGCACAAACAGGAACACTTCTGGGCTCAGTGTGTGAGTTAGTGTCGGGGTTCATGCAGGAGAGTGAGCAGGAGGGCCTGAAGCCCTGCCAGTGAGCCCCTAGGGAAGGTAGTCACAGCAGTAGCCAGACTACTACCAGTACAATGCCGATGGCCATACACCGCACCCCAAGGATCCCTTCAGAATTTGAGACTTCCCCATCTGGCACTTCTGAGGTCTCCACCCAGATGGAACCTATGGTTCCGGGCTCCATACAGACAGAGCCTCTGGCTCTTGGCTATGGGGGCTGTCTGGCATGATGCTAGGCACACAGGACTGGGAACATGGCCACCTCCTTTTGTGAAGTCTGCTCTACCTTAGAGTCTCTGAGGTGCCAGATAGAGGAGCTCCAGACCACAGTCCAGAGACTGCATCCCATCAGGGATGGTGAGCAGGAGATTGACTCCTACTGCTAGGCCTTTCACCCCTTGAAGGCTGAGGGTTGACCAGGGTCACTGTCCAGGACAAGGGAGGATTTGAGGATCTCCCACACTGTCAAGCCAGGGGGTTGGACCAAGGTGGTCAACGGCCCCAGGGCCCGCTACACCAGGGTCCCCTCCCCTCTGGAGCTCTGAAACAGGTGTGCACCTCTTGCAGCCCCAGCAGAGCCTGCAGAGCTGCCAGCTTCTGCATGCAAGGGAGGTTCACCAACAGCTACCATCCCTGCTCTCCCTAAGACGAAACACAGAGTGGTCGTTGTGGGAGACTTCCACCTGAGGGGGACTGAGGGAGCAATCTGCCACTCTGACTCCCTACCCCAGGAGGTATGTTGCCTCCTGGGAGCATGTAACCGGGATGTAGCAGAGAGGATTCCAAAGCTTATCTGACCCTCCAACCACTACCCTATGCTCTGTATCCATGTGGGCATGAATGACACAGCTTGGAGCAACCCCAGTTGGGTCATGAATGGCTACAGAGCTCTAAGAGCGGGGTTGGGGGCGCAGGTGTTTTTTTCCTCTATCCTTCTGGTCATGGGCTGAGGAGGGAGAGATGGATTGAGGTAGTCAACCGAAGACTGTGGCACTGGTGTCATTGTGAACGCTTTTGCTTCCGCGATCACAGTCCACTCTTTGGTGAGGCAGGCAGCAGTCTGCTGGGAAGAGACAGCCTCCACCTCACTTCACTGGGGAGGAAGCTCTTCTCAGCCAGAATGGCTGACCTGCTGTACTGGGCTTTAAACCAATCTAGCTGGGGAATGGGTGGACAACCACCAAAGCAAGCCCTCTAGGCAATAGCTACAAAACCAACAGGTTAAGGCACCCAAGGGATTCTACTCTGACCCCAGCCCTGGAACGGTATCCTCCTGGGAATGTAAGGAAGCCTGGGGTTCCCAGTGGGACTCTCACATGTCTGTACACCAATGCCAGGAGCTTGGGGAACAAACAGGAGGAACTGGTCCTCCTACTAAAAAAAGAATGACTACTATCTCATAGGAATAATGGAGACCTGGTGGGACTTCATCTATGACTGGGCCACAGGTATAGATGGCTATACCTTGTATAGGAGGGATTGTGCAGATAAAAGGGGTGGAGGTGTAGTTCTCTATGTCAAGGATAGCTACACATCCCTGCAAGCTGACATTGGCACCCAGGCAGGACAACTAGAGACCCTCTGGGTTAAAATACATGGGGAACGTGGCACAGGGGGCGCAATGGTAGGAGTCTACTATGGACCCTTTAACCAGGAACAAGAGCTCGACCAGGAATTCGCCAGGAAACTGGCTGAGGCTACACACTCTCGGTGCATGGTTGTCATGGGAGACTTCAACTACCCAGACATCTCATGGGAAGAGCACTCAGCCAAATCCGAATGGTCACAAAGCTTCCCCACATGTGTGGATGAGCTCTACCTGACCCAAGAAGTCTATGGACCTACAAGAGGTAAAGTGCTGCTGGACCTGGTACTGGCTAAAAGGGATGATCTAGCCAGCAACCTAAAAATCGAAGGAAAGCTGCGAGACAGTGACCATAAGCTGATCAGTTTTACTATCCATCGCAAAGCTGGCAAGTCAGACAGCAATGCAGAAGTCCTTGACTTTAGGAAAGTTGACTGTGATAAGCTCAGGAGGCTTGTTGTTGAGGCCCTAAGGGACCACACCATGACAGGGAGAGGAGCCCAAGAGGAGTGGTCACTCCTTAAGGGACTGATCCTGAAAGCACAGGGGATCCCATCTCAGAGGAAAGGTAGCAAAAGGGCACAGCAACCCCCTTGGCTCAGCAGGGAACTTGTGAACCTCTTATGCCAAAAAAGAGAGGCTTATAAAGGATGGAAGATAGGAATCACCACAGAGGAGGGTCACTCTGCACTGCTCCGTACCTGTAGAGAGTGAATCAGGAAAGCCAAGGCTGCAACCAAACTCCACTTGGCTATACATACCAAGAACAATAAAAACTCCTTTTTTAGATATGTGGGAAGTTGGAAGAAAAGCAAGGGTAACACTGGATCCTTGCTAAACCAAATGGGACAACTGACAACCGACACCCAGGAAAAAGCCAACCTGCTTAATGGATACTTTGTGGTGGTTTTTTATCGACACAAAGAGACTGTCCTGCCCAGCAAGATGAGGGATGGCCAGGGTGAGGGTGAATTTATACCCAGAATTGGTGTTGACCTTGTAAAGGAACACCCTGAGGGGCTGGACACTTTCAAGTCAGCGGGTCCTGACAGATTGCACCTCAGAGTACTTAAGGAGCTCACAAGAGTCATAGCCCAGCCACTGGCAAAGATTTTTGAAAACTCCTGGCACTCAGGTAAAGTACCTGAAGATTGGAAGAAGGCCAATGTAGTGCCCATCTTCAAGAAAGGGAGGAAAGTAGATGCAGGGAACTATAGGTCAATCAGCTTGACCTCAATACCTGGAAAGATTCTAGAAGAAGTCATCAAAGGGACCATTCTTGACAAGCTGGCTGATGACAACATCCTGAGGGACAGCCAGCATGAGTTTGTGGATAGGTCTTGCCTGACTCATTTCATCTCCTTCTATGACCAGGTGACATATCACATATCTGGACTTTAAAAAAGCCTTTGATCTGGTGTCCCACGATATGCTCTTGGAAAAATTGGCCAACTGTATCCTTGGCTACATCTCAGTCTGATGGCTGGATTCAGAGAGTGGTGGTTGATGGAAGTGAATCATCATGGTGCTCCGTGACTGGTGGTGTCCCCCAAGGCTCCATCCTTGGACCTGTTCTCTTTAACATCTTTATCAATGACATGGATACTGGTGTCAGAAGTGGATTGGCCAAGTTTGCCGATGACACCAAACTTTGGGGTAGTGTCCACACCTGAGGATGGGCTGGTGATCCAGGCTGACTTGGATAAGCTGAAAAAGTGGGCAGATACAAACCTGATGACATTC